AGGGAAAGCAGAGATAAAGGGGAAGAGAGGGAAAAAGAAGAAAGTTTCTTTTCTGTTTTGAAATATAATCAAATTTATTTTTTATTTGTGGATAAAAAGACTCTAAGCTCAGGATCAGGTTAAAGGAATGACCATCACTAATGATAACTAAGGCAGGATTAATGAGTAAGACAAGATGATTGAGCCTTTTTAAGAAAAATACAATATATTTATTTTTTGTAGCAAGAGATTAGACCAAGACGAAGAGACTGAAGGAATCTGTAACAGACAATGCTCTAAACTTGAATATGACTTGCTAGTTAGAAGTAATTACTAAGAATGAAAAGAGAGCAATCTAAGCTGGAAACAGGCTCAATTACCTTTAGAGGAAAATTGCTTTTGCAACATACTTTTTTCATCAATATCTGAATTTATTGTATAGTATGATGCTGAGGACAGCTTGTAATATGGAAGAAAGACTCCATTTGTTACTGTCACACTGAGCAGCAAGACATGGTTAAATTACTTGAAAGTAATTTTAACACCTTTTCCTCAAACACTTGAGCCAAGAAGACATTAATCAAACTACTTAGAAAGGCACCATATAAATTGAGGGTTTTAAAAAGGAGTATTTTCTTTTTAAAATATGGAGGTGTTATTTTGTTCTTCATGCAAATGTTAATGAGCTGTTTTATATTTTATGTGATAAACTCAGCATCTTTTTGTGGTATTTGAAATGACATCTTCATGGAAATTTTAGAAGTGCTTAATTATAGGATGTGGAGTATAGTGCATGCTATGCCAATAGAATATTGTTTATTGCAGGCATACAAAATATATGTCAGTTGAAAGAATTTCCAAACTACAAAATAAACCTCAACTCTCATCTGGCAGGCAATAGAGTTTGTGTTTTAGCAAGTTCTCATCAATGTTATTTTTAGCCACTTCTAAAGAGTTTTCAATACCAGCAGTTGGGCAAGAAGTCAAAAGTACTTCTTTTTAAAACAAATAATGATTTTAATCAAAGACATATAAAGAGAATATCAAATGTATATAAGTAAATAAGGCAGGAGGAAGTATATGTGAAGGGTTAGGGTAAAGAAGGTTGATTATAGTGGGAGAGAAATAATATATTTGGACACTTCTTTTCCTGGAATAAACACAGCTTTTCAGCGTTTATTCCAGGGAAATGTCGGCAGTGGGAGAAGAAAAGACTCTGGTGATTAACAAGGCTGCCGCCTCTCACTGAGCCCTGGGCTCATTGACCAAGATGCAATTTCCACATACAACTTATTTTTTAAAGATCAGTTGGGTACCAGCAGCAAATAGCCAAGAGCAGGCTGCTGCCTAGTCAGAGGAAGAGAGAAGTTTCTGCATTCCTTCAGGAGAATTTAAGAATTGCTCTTCTCACCTTATTCTGTGTAAGGCAAAGAAAAGTGGTATTTTGATCTTTGTCACATAACCTCGGTTTCAGACACTTAAAGAGGCCTCCTTTTGCCTACCGAGGAAATTCCAGCTCTTTATGTAAGTTCCAGAACCACCTCCCATTGACTTTATAATTGCGACTTGAATAGGAAACCAGCCTTTCAAGTGCTTTACTCATTCATTTATTATGCATTTTCTTCAGTCTTTTTCTTTTTAATTCATAAGTCTTTGTTGAGCCCCTGCTTTCTTCCTGGGTCCATAGTGGTGAACACCCTCCCCTTCTGGAGCTCACTGTGTTCAATATCATTTTCCATCTCTGGGATTTCCTTTTTATCCCCTTCCTCTGCGCTACCAAGTTCATCTGAGTAAATCATGTTCTTCATAAATCTCTCTTCCTCATTTTGTTAGTCTTTCCACATCCATGTTTTTTGCTCTTCCTGTTTGTTTTATTTCTGTACTTGGAGTGGACCTTAATTTACAGCCACATTGTTTCTATATGAGGGTCTCTGGAGATTCTTCAGGTCTGGTTGCCCTACTAAGTGCATTTCAATTTTTTTTTTTTTTGAGACAGAGTTTCACTCTGTCACCCAGCCTGGAGTGCAGTGGTGTGATCTCGGCTCACTGCAAACTCCATCTCTTGGGTTCAGGATTCTCACACCTCGGCCTCCCAGGTAGCTGGGACTACAGGTGTGCACCACCATGCACAGCTAATTTTTGTATTTTTAGTAGAGACAAATTCATCATACTTAGCCAGGCTGATTTTGATCTCTTGACCTCAAATGATCTAACTGCCTAGGCCTCCCAAAGTGCTGGGATTACAGGCTGAGCCACCTTGCCTGGCCTCAAAAGTTTTGAGGCTCAGGTTACTGTGTGTAATTCCAGCTCCTTGTATTGTCAGCATCTAGATCAACACTTAGCTGTCAGTATGGGAAGAGGAAATGTATGACAGACTTTAACACCAGCAGGGTCCTTACTCCTTCCTAAGAGTTCCTTTCTGTGACCTTTCTAAGCTTCTTATCCCATCCTTCCAACCCCAGATATTTTAAACCTTAAACTTTATTCGTTTCCTGCAACTCGCCTCACTCTCTGCAGACAAACCCTTTTCTTGTTTCATAAAGAAATAAAAGCCCCAAGTGAGGGGAGTTACAACTCCCCTCTCTCAACTCCAGCAAACTGATCTCCATCCTTGCTCTTTTTAAATCTTTCCCTCCAGGAAAGAAGAATTGGCATGTCTTCTTGGAAGATGTCAATCTTCCTGCTCAAAACAAATTCTACTGCTTGTGATTTTGGTCCCATCCTCTCCAGCCTTTTTGAGGACATGTCCCCATCAATTTTCTCATTATTGTCTTGGATCATCAGCTTCATTACAAAATAATTTTCCTTTTGGTACAGACATGTGCATGTTTTTCCAATCTTAATAAGTAATCATTCTTTATCAATCTTATATTCTTTTTTTTCTTTTTTTTTTTTTGAGACAGAGTCTTGTTGTCACCAGGCACCAGGCTGGAGTGCAGTGGCACAATCTCAGCTCACTGCAACCTCCACCTCCTGGGTTCAAGTGATTCTCCTGCCTCAGTCTCCTGAGTAGCTGGGACTACAGGCATGCACCACCACTCCCAGCTAATTTTTGTATTTTAGTAGAGATGGCATTTCACCATGTTGGCCAGGATGGTCTCAATTTCCTGACTTCGTGATCCACCCACCTCGGCCTCCCAAAGTGCTGGGATTAGAACCGTGAGCCACCGCACCCGGCCAGTCTTATATTCTTTGTAGTCATCCTCTATAAACCTCTCTCTTCACCTGCTCTTTTCACTCGCCCTTCTCCTGTCACTCTCACTTTTTATTGTAATCTGGGTCTGTTTAAGCACTGCATAACATTTACACACTACATTGACACCATTGTAACCTACACAATAGTCTGTCTACACACTCCATGGACACTTCTTTCACCAAGGGCACCTTCTAGTTGCTAAATGCATAAAAGACTGTATAGACTTGGTTTTCCTATAGTAATTTACTCTGTTAATAATTCTTTTCTTGAGGGTACTCTTATGTTAATCTATTAAAACCCCTTGTTTTCTAGGTTTTAACTCTTACCTCTCTGCTCTTTTTTTAAATCTCATCCTTCTTTGTTCACCTTCTTTTTCTATTCCATCTCTGTTGACAGTTCTATTTTTGAAAATTTTTTCTGGACTGTATTCTCTCCTGTAATTTTAAACAATAGCCTTTGCTGCTTATTACAGTGTCCAAATATCCAATGTATTCATTCTGTAACTTTTAGACCCTCATAGTCAATTGCTCCTGTATCATTCCACTTGCATTTATCATGAGCATCTGAGTGTGTCTCTAACAAAATTCATTCTGCCTTCTACCACACAGCTGTTCTTCCCTATTTCAGTTAGTGACATTTCCTATTTGGCCAAGCCAGAAAATGAGGAGTTAGCCTTTGCTGTTTCACTCTCTCTTTTATAACCTGCATCCAACTGATCAATGAGTTCTGAGCATTCATCTTCCTAATAGCTCTAGAATTTGTCTTTTCTTTTCCCTCCTCTGTAACAATATTTAACTAAGACTCTCTTTATTAGGAATTACCTAATTACTTAAGCAGCCTTCTTTGTCAGTAGTTCTCAATCTTGTTTATACACTATAATTAGGAAAAATTCAAAATCCCTGATGCTCAGACCACACTCCAGACCATTACATTAGAATCTATGGAGATGGAATTCAAGCATCACAAAGAGGAATTAGGGTGGAAAACCAAGGTTCTAAGCAGCCCCTGTACTTCCAGACTCTTAGGACTGTTGTAATGTTGTTAACAACGTTCTTTCTATAAAGCTAATTGTGCCATTCCTTATCTTAAGACCATTTACTAGCTCCCTTTTGCCTTCAGGTAAAAACTAAATTTCTTAGTATAAAGAAATTTAGTGTCCTGTATATCTCATTAACTCATTTATTGATTTTTAATAGATATTACTTGCATATGATAACTAATTTAAAAATAATGTACCTTGGGAGTGTGGGAAATAAATCTTTCCTTGTGTCCATTTCTCAACCCCTAGACTCTCATCCCACATCCACAGGCACCCACTAATCCCAGTATCTTTCACCATATAGTCAATGTGTATGTATGTGTGTATCTATCTATATATAATATATATATATATATAAATATATATCTTATATTTACCCTTTTTAAAGCAAGAATGATAGAGCACTATAACACTGTTTTGCTTCCTGTTACTTTCACTTAACAGTATCTCTAGGAGATACATTTGTTCCAATATACAGAGAGCTGGATCATATTGTATATAGTCATATAGTGTTCCACCATATGCATATAAAATAATTCATTAATTGAAAACTTGATTTAGGTTGTTCTAATCTTTGCACTCTAATGCCAACATGGGTGCAATCAACACTCATGGTGTTTTTGTGCCATTTTGTGCATGTACCAAAACATGTCCATTTTATATTTTGATAGGAATTGCCAGGTTATCTTCCACATAGGCTGTGCTGATCTACATTTCCATCAGCAGTACCTGCTCCCCACAACCTTACCAACATAGTGTATGTGCGACCCCCTCGTAGTCCCCTGCCCGGTACCCGATCCCAAGTAACAGCTCGAGCGAGAGTTGGAAGCCGAGTTCAGGTTTATTGGGACCAGCGGGCAGGCCAGGAAAGGAAGGAGATCGGGGGCTGGCTGCGACTGGGCAGCTGGGGTAGGAGGGTTTTATAGGGGGGGTGGACAGGGTGTGGACACAGGGCTGGCGGAGTGTCATAGGAGCTTAGGATAGGCTGCCCGTTTCTGGGCGGACTGCTGAGGTAGCTCAGAGGGTTATGTATCGGTTCAGGATAGGCCGAGGCTTGGCGGGCTTTCCTGCTGCGATGATTGGCTGCTTGTTGTTGCTGGGCAGAACAGGGCAGGCTTGGCGGGCTTTTCTCAGGGCAGCAGGAAGCCTGGGGGGAGGGTGGGGGCAAGAATCCTGGGGGAAAGATGGCGGGACTTTCTACCGAACATTCCCGACTCCTTAAAGGACAAAGGGCGGCTGAGTCGTTCTGGCTACTTCCTGCTGGACAGGGGCGAAGTGGAGTTTTTTAAGGAGTCTGGGAAGTCGGCAGAGGGTGGTATGCGTAGTTGGAATGATGAAGGGTTGGCTGTAGTAACATCTGATGGATGGTGAGCCGGGTGAGTTCCTGAAACCGGCACTGTAGAAACTGAAAAAAACATGGGGCAACTGATAGGAGAAGGAGGAATCCTATGAGGGGGCCGAGGAGGGGAAGGAGATAGGGAAGAACGCCGTTCAGCCCTCCCCCTAGTGGGTTGTCGAGGAGTGCCTTTCTTCTTGCGGCTAAATTTTCTTGGAGGGTTTTTGTCTTACCTCTAACAATGCCAGAACGGTTGGCGTAGAAACAGCACTTCTCATCTAGTGCTAGGCATAGTCCTCCTTTTTCTGCGGTGAGTAGGTCTAGGCCTCGGCGGTTTTGCAGGACCACCTCAGCTAAGGAATCAAGCTGATCCTGAATAACTTGTATAGTAGATGAGAGTAAATCAACATCATTAATCAGTTGAAGGGAAAGCTGGTGATAAGAGTGTAAAGAATAGCCAAGACCTGCAGCCCCTGTGGATAGGGCAGCAGTGACTCAAATGGTAGCTAGCAGAGGAATGAACTGAATCGCCCGCTTTTTCCTGCTCACGATTACATCGAAACTGGGAAGAGGAATGGGATCATCCCCTGAAACTATGCTGGCGTCAGGAAACAAGGAGGCCACCATACATATTCCTGTCCAGTTTTGAGGTAGATAAGAGAAGGCCATGTTGTTCCCGCAGACAAAGCTTTGTCCAGCAGGGGCATACATGCTGGAATTGCTATTTACAAATTTGGAACAATTACAGGAACTCGTGATTGAACCTAAGTCAATGTCATAGGAATTATTCATGAGGGGCTTTTGATAGCAAGTGACATTAACACAGAGGTTTGACAAGGGTTGAACTGCAAAAGGAAGATGGAGAGTTCCATTAGTGCTGAAATTACCAATTGCAGGTAAAGCTAGAGGCATAGGTGTACCCAGAGGCATGCAGATCCAGCAGTTGTTAGCTAATGAGGAATTGCTATGTAAGAGGAAACTGTGAACTGCCTTAAGGAGATTTTGGGTTTGGACATCTAAGTCTATCTGTCGAGACTTGGGTAAGGATATAGGGTGGTAAGATATAGTGGGAAACAACGTCTTTAGGATCTCTTTAACATGGTGGGACCTCATTTGATCATGTGGGCCTCCTCCGTCACTGACACCAATGGTTGGGCTGCTTTCCCAGCATGCCACTTTCCCCAAGGCTGGGCAAGAAGCAACGGCATATTTATAGGTGATGCCCAATGGGGAACTGGAGGCCCAGTCACCTCCAAATGAGCCAACATGATCGGCATTGATCCAGGCTGTAAAATAAGTTTTATTATTTTTTGTGCAAGTGGCATAATTTTTATAGCAACCGCTGTGGACAGACAGATGCATTTCCGAGGAGCAGTTGCAGGCTGGTTGGGGAGACCCTGGGGGAACTATTGCAATGGTGGGTTTGTTAAAACATTCATAGCCTGGTTTGCGGTCGTTGCCAGAAGAAAGGTATGCTATTTTTGTTCCACAATCAATTTGACTTGAGAAGGATGAGGGCGGAGTGGACACAACACCTGACTTGCATTCACAGGGCTCACCATAAACAGTTTTTAGAACTTGGCTGAGATCATATTGTCGCCCAAACCCGCTGTGAACAGCAGGCAAGAAGGTTAGAACTACAGCGAGTAGGGGCCACATGTCGGCTCGGGGTTGGAGAGGTTGAATAGGTCAGAGTTTATGTATTTTGAGTGATAGGGGACCTGTGGGAACACACTCCCAACAGGGGTTAGGGGAGCAGCTTGGATACTTCTTAACCCTGGAGAGGTGTACCCAGGATGGGATCTGAGCAACCTTGATAGCCGTTGGGGTGGTTAAAATGACGGTGTAGGGCCCTTCCCACCAAGGTGAGAGGGGTTTTGGAGTGAGAGTTTTAATGAAGACAGAGTCACCGGGGGCAACTTTTCCCAGAGTGGGTGGAATTTCTGAGGCCTGAGGTATAGAAGCGTTGGCGTGTTCCCTGAGTAAATGTCTGAGGAGAGTAAAATAGGGGAGGTAGGTATTCAGGGGGGAACTTTCCGGAGAAGGTGGAGTAGATAGCAGGAAGGGTCGCCCGTATAGGAGCTCGAATGGACTGAGCTGTGAAGCTCCTCGGGGGCGGGCCCGTAGCCTGGTAAGAGCTAACGGTAGTAAAGAGACCCACGACTGCTTAAGCTCGAGAGAGAGTTTGGTAAGCTGATCCTTGATGAGTCCATTAGCCCGTTCTACCTTACCCGATGACTGGGGGTGGTAGGCTGCATGCAGTTTCCACTGAATCCCTAAGGAAGCACAGACAGCGTTAGTAACTTTGGAGACAAAGGCCGGGCCGTTGTCTGACTGAATAGTGGCCGGAAGCCCAAACTGAGGGATGATGTCCTGGATGAGATGGGCAGCAACAGTGTCGGTGGACTCTGAAGTGGTGGGAAAAGCTTCGATCCAGCCTGAAAAAGTATCAACAATGGTTAACAGGAACCGAAATTGTTTATGTCTTGGCATGTGAGTAAAATCAATTTGCCAGTCTTGTCCTGGTAAAGATCCACGCAACTGGTGGAGCTGTTGATGAAGATGACAGGCTCCTTGGGGGTTGGTCTTCGCACAAATGAGACATTGAGCATGGACCTGGTGAATAAGGGAAGGGAGCCCTTCTGGATGTAATATGGGTAGGAGGAAGTGGAGTAGGGCTTTTGGCCCGATATGCAAGGAATCATGGATGTCCTTTATGATGGTAGTTTTTTGTGCTTGGGGAAGTATCAGAAGGTTGTGATTGAAGGCCCATCCATCCCTAAAGGTCACTCCAGGGTTTTGCTGTAAAAGTTCGAGCTCAGAGTTGGAATACTGGGGTTTGTAGCAGCGTGACAGGAAGTAGATTTCCTTTGGGGGTGGGCAGGTTTGTGCTGTTTCTCTGGCCGTCCTGTCTGCAAAAGCATTACCTAGGGCTACTAGGGACCCGGAGGTTTGGTGTCCTCGACAGTGAATGATGGCAACCTGCTTTGGAAGCTGGATGGCAGAGATAAGATCAGCTATACGTTTTCCGTTAACTACTGGGGTGCCCTTGGTGGTTAAGAATCCTCTCTCTTTCCAGATCATACAGTGGGAGTGGGCAATAAGGAAAGCGTACTTTGAGTCTGTGTAGATGTTGACAGTTTTGTCCCTGGCCCACTTGAGAGCCCGGGTGAGGGCGACTAACTCAGCCTGTTGTGAGGTGGTTCCTAAGGGGAGGGAATGAGTCTCAATGACGTCTGAAGGAGTCACTGTTGCATATCCAGCAATACGGGATTTTCCTGGGCGTAGGAAGGAGCTCCCATCTACAAAAAGTGTCGCTTCAGCCTCGATGGGAGTGGAGTGTAGGTCAGGCTGTGGGGATTGGGTTTCAATGATAACCTCGAGGCATCGGTGATCTTGTGTTGGAGCAGTTGGAGAAGGGAAAAGGGTGGCTGGGTTAAGAGCAGGACAGTGGGAGAGGGAAATATCGGGGTTCTCCAGGAATAGAAGGTGTAGGAGTTGGACCTTGGATGGCCCAAGGTGTGGTAAGGCCTGACCGGATACAAGCTCCTGCAGTTTGTGAGGGGAGAATACTGTGAGTGGTTGCTGGAGGTTGATCTTAAGGGCTTCTGTCGTAAGTGTGGCGGCTGCTGCTAAGGCTCGGAGGCAAGGTGGCCACCCCTTTTCCGTGGGGCTGAGTTGTTTGGAAAGGTATGCTAGTGGAAGGAGGGTGTTGCCGACCGGTTGAGCCAGGACTCCTACCACGATGTGGGCTTTCTCATCCGTATACAAGTGAAAAGGAAGATTGGGATTGGGTAGAGCAAGAAAGGTGGAAGCACATAGTGTTTGTAGGAGCGTGTGGAAGGCTCGAGTCACTGTTCCCTGTGAAGTAAGTGGGCCTTCAGGAGTATCTGTGGCTGCTTGGTAAAGTGGCTTGGCCAGAAGGACAAAGTTGGGCACCCAGTGCCGGAAGAATCCCACTATCCCTAGAAAGGAGAGTATTTCAGTGGCAGACTGCGGGGGTTGGAGGGCTTTCAGGGCCTGCAGTCGATCGGGGATAATGGATTTCTTTCCCGGGGAAAGCTGTAGGCCCAAGTAAATGACTGATGAGGTAACGAGTTGGGCCTTCTTTCTTGAAACTCTATACCCTTTATCTCCTAAAAAGTTGAGCAGGACAGTAGTGGCTCGGGTGCACTCTTCCTGGCTGGGGGAACAGACGAGTAGGTCATCAACATACTGAAGAACAATAGATGGGGCTAGGCGGCAGCCTAGAAGGTCTGTTGCCAGGGCCTGACCAAACAGGTGAGGGCTATCCCTGAAACCTTGGGGAAGAACTGTCCAGGTGAGCTGACAAGAGTTGTCAGTAAGTGGGTCTTCCGAGGTGAAAGCGAAGATGAAATGGGAATCTGGGTGTAAGGGAATGGTGAAAAAGGCATCCTTGAGGTCAAGGACTGAGAAGAAGGTAGTATCGGAGGGAATTCTGGAGAGTATGGTGTACGGGTTTGGGACTACAGGATGTATAGGGACTACTGCAGCATTGACTAGTCGGAGGTCTTGGACAAGGCGGTATTCTCCTGAGGGTTTCCGGACTGGGAGGATGGGAGTGTTACATGGGGAATTGGTGGGTACTAGGAGGCCGCGGCTTTTCAGCCTTTCAACGATGGGGTGAAGTCCTAGGCGGTGTTTCTTGGAAATAGGAAACTGAGATCGACAAAGAAATCGGGAGGAGTGTTCCTGGAGGCAAATCTTGACTGGCTTGTGGTGTGTGGCTACTACAGGTGTGTCCGTTTCCCATACCTTAGGGTGTACTTTGTGGGGGAGAATGCCTGTGGAAGCATAGTCTGAGTCGGAGTCAAGGTGGTGAGCAACTAACAGGAGGTGTTGGGGAGAGGCGGGGAAAGTGATGTGGGCTTTGAGTTTTGTTAGGATGTCTCATCCCAACAGAGGCACAGGGCAAGAGGGGATAATGAGGAAAGAGTGGCTGAATGGGACTGAGTTATACATACAGGTGAGCAGTGGAGTTTGGCGTGGGGTGTGTGCAGCCCCATCGATTCCCATAACAGAGACCTGGGAGAGTATGGTCTGGCCTTGGAAGGAGGGAAGCACAGAGTAGGTAGCCCCCGTATCGAGCAAAAAGGAGACGCTTTTTCCCGCTACCTGAAGTGACACCCTAGGCTCGGCAAGGGTTACTGGGGTCGACGAGCCTGGGCCTCCCTAGTCGTCCAAAAGCCCCAGTAGCTCAGGGTATAAGCAGTCGGGAGAGCCAGACTCCCGAGTAGAGGGGTCAGGGGCTGGCCCTCCCGGAGAGGTACCCCTTGGTCCAGTACTCCGGCTTGCGTTGGCCGGGGTCCTGGATCCCTGGGGGCACTCTGATTTCCAGTGGCTACTGAGCTGGCAGAGGGGGCAGGGCCTGGTAGGCGGCTGTGGCTGAGGACAACTAGAGGCCCAATGCCCTTCCTTGCCACATTTGAAACATGCCCCTGGCGGGGGCTTGGAGCGGCTGTTCGGACCCCTGGCCCCTGCCAGCCATAGGGCTGCCACCAGGGCTTGGGTCTGGGCTGCCACTAGGGCTTGGGCCTGTAGTGCAACCTTTTGCTTCAATCGAGCTTGGCGGGCAACTTCGGCTGCATCTTCCCTGGCGTTAAAGACTTTAAAGGCCATCTTAACCAGGTCTTGTATGGGAGTCTCTGGGCCTTCTTCGGCTTTCTTAAGTTTTTTTTGAATGTCAGGGGCAGATTGGGAAATGAAGTAGGAAGCTAAGACGGTAGCCCCATTTTGGGAGGCTGGGTCTAGTCGGGTATAGCGGACAAGGGCTTCCTGAAGGCGGTTGAGAAAAAGGGCAGGGTTCTTATCTGGCTTCTGTGTGACTTCTCTTAGCTTATCATAGTTAACGACCTTATTGGATACAGCTTCTAACCTGTGCAACAGGTACTGAAGCATGCGATCTCGAGCTGGGATGTGGGAGCCAGCTCCATCCTGATATACCCACTGGGGGTCCATGGTGGGAATAGCTTCTGTACCTACTGGGACTTGGTTTGGGTTTATGGCATGATCTCTATCTGCTTGATGCCTGGCTGCCGCTAGGATGCGCTCGTGCTCTTCGGCAGAGAGGGTCGATGTACAGATGACTCGAATGTCGTGCCAAGTGAGACTATAGGCCTGGGTGAGATACTGAAACTCCTTAATGTAAGTGGAGGGGTCTGCTGAGAAGGACCCAAGACGGCGCTCAATTTGAGCTAGGTCTTGGAGAGAAAAAGGGACATGGACCCGAACAAGGCCCTCCGCCCTGGCTACTTCCCCTAGGGGTGCTATGACAGAGGGAGGTGCTGAAGTCTTGGTACGGGTATGGGCCGCCACGGGGGAAGAATGGGGAGAGCAGATGGGAGGAGGAGCGGTCGGGGGAGTGGCGGAAGGCATAGACGGAGAGGAGGAAGGAGGCACAGCAGGAGGAGGCATGGAGGGAGGGGGGTTAGGTGGGTCGGGGACTTCCGGAGTGGGAACAAAGGGGGAAGACAAATGGTCAGGCATCTCTTCTTGCATGATATATGGAGGTGGTTTGGTCGGGGAGGTAGGGGTCCGGGGTAGGGTGGTTTGGGCTAGGAGGACCTGGTGAGTAGAGCAAGTGGAACAGAGGTCAGGGTGGGAACGCAGGTCCCAGAAAGCCTGAACATAAGGCACTTTCTTATCTTTGCCAGTTCGGCAGCAGAAGTTATCTAGGTCGTGGAGCACATTGAAATCGAAAGTGCCGGTGGGAGGCCAATGCGACCTGTTATTGAGCTGATACTGGGGCCAGGCCACCTGGGAGAGGAAGATAAGCTTTTTTCGCCTAAGGGTTTGGGAGTAGCCCAAACGGGTAAAATTGAGAAGTAAACAACCTGCTGGGGTGTTTTTTGGAATTTTTGACTCCACGTTCCCCATGATGCGTGCGGCAAAGGGTTCCTGCCAGCCGAGGGTGGTCTTGGAACAGTATCCGAGTGGGCTGGGGTAGTGTGGGGGAGGCGTCCCTCCAACCCACCAGCTTCCCCAGAGGAAGGTGGATAGGAAAGACCAGAGAAGGCGTCCCCTGTCTGATCGTTCCTATTTAATGGTTTCAGATTGGGTGGGTCAGAGAAGGCGTCCCTTGTCTGCCGACCCAAGGCTCCTGGAGCCTGGTTGGGGGATCCTGCTCAGGCCGGCCAGCGCTTGGCGAGGGATCCATGGATTGGGACTGAGAGGAAGGGCCTTTGCCACACGCACCACGGAAGGAAAAGGTAAGAAACAGGACTTACCTGGTCCGGAGTGCTGAGGCCGAATTGGAGGAGGGCTGGAGAGGTCGCTAGAGGGAGGGGGTCGCTAGGGGGGGCTAGCGACCCTTCGTCCCGGGTTTCGGCACCAAATGTGCGACCCCCTCGTAGTCCCCTGCCCGGTACCCGATCCCAAGTAACAGCTCGAGCGAGAGTTGGAAGCCGAGTTCAGGTTTATTGGGACCAGCGGGCAGGCCAGGAAAGGAAGGAGATCGGGGGCTGGCTGCAACTGCGCAGCTGGGGTAGGAGGGTTTTATAGGGGGGGTGGACGGGGTGTGGACACAGGGCTGGCAGAGTGTCGCAGGAGCTTAGGATAGGCTGCCCGTTTCTGGGCGGACTGCTGAGGTAGCTCAGAGGGTTATGTGTCGGTTCAGGATAGGCTGAGGCTTGGCGGGCTTTCCTGCTGCGATGATTGGCTGCTTGTTGTTGCTGGGCAGAACAGGGCAGGCTTGGTGGGCTTTTCTCAGGGCAGCAGGAAGCCTGGGGGGAGGGTGGGGGCAAGAATCCTGGGGGAAAGATGGCGGGACTTTCTACCGAACAGTGTATTAATCAGTTTTTGATATTTTCCATTTTGTGCTTCTCTCAATGGGAAGGAGAATGAATATCTTTTGAAATGTTGAAAAGCCATGAGCATTTCTTTCTTTGGAATGGTACATCCAATATTTTCTCTGAGCTCTTTTCTATTTTACTGTTTTCTCAAATACTAACCACAGAATTCCAAAAGGAAACATCGTTAATTTGATCAAAATGGGTGTGGGGTAGTTCCTATGGCTTGAATGTGTCCCCCAAAGTTCATTTGAAAACTGAACCTTGATACAACAGTATTAGGAGGTGGGGCCTCATAAGGGATCATGATGGCTTTGTCCTCGTGAATATGTTAATGTTGTTATGGAGAGAGTGGTTTGGTCATTCCACGTATGAACTTATTCTACATGCAAGTTTGGTTATCTCTTCCTCTCCCGCTTTCTCAGGCTGTCTTATCTTTGTACCTTCTTCCATGGGATGATGGAGCTGAAGGCCTTTGCCCCATGTGGGAACCTTGATCTTAGGCTTCTCAGACTCTGAAAATGTAAGAAATAAACTTCTTTTCTTTATAAATTACCCAGTCTGTGTTATTCTGGTATAGCAGCACAAAACAGACTAAGACTATAAGGGTGGGAGAAAACACTTAAGTGTATATTTACAAAACTAGCAAGGACATATGAATAACAGAGAAGAAAAAACCTCCCAGGCATCTGATTACAACTGATACCTTCTACCTTAGCCTTGAATGTCATGAGCAGCAGAGAGAAGGCACTGAGCAAACGCTTTCTTGCTTGAAGAGCTGCTCTGACCTGTGAATAGCCATTCTGGGATAGATACCTCCAGGAAGAATACACAGTCACATTTTTATCTGTACACCAAAGAAACCATAGTTACTTTTGGAGCCTTGCTTTCTCTACCTGACTACACTCTAATAAAAACCAAACTGAAAATTTTAAACAAGAGAGTTTTTTTTTAAGTGCTGTTGTTTTCATGCTACCATATAAAGTGTAGGCCTACTGGAATAATAGCAAAGTGGTTAAATTTATTTTCCCATGAATCTGTAATAAGATGTAGTTATTATATTTGTGTTACAGAACTAACTTTATAAGCAATTATGAAAATAAAGTATATGATTTGTGAGGAAAATATTTTTAAGCCTTCCACGTCTTAATATTCTCATGTAGAGAAATGCTCGCTTAGGGATTTTTAAAGCAAAATTAGACCTAATTAATATTTTATTACATTTCAATTGTTGCTGTGTGTGAGAGAATACCGTCTCCATGTGTTAAACCTATATGGGTTAAAAAACACACCAAGGATGGATTTCTCAATATTGGTAATAAATATCCTTTTTTCTTTTATTTTGGTGAAAGTGCGTGAACATGAGGGTAAGAGATCTTAGGATTTAGGGTGGGGTGGAGGGATGAAAAGTCAGATCTGATGCACCAGCTATCTCTAGGAAGAGTGAGATTATAAAGTTATTCTCTGAGTCTTAGTTGAGGCTCATTTTTTTTTTTCTCTTTAGGATTAACTTGTTTTCCACTCAATTTAACACTCTTTATTAAATGACAAGTTTACACTTTTCATAAAACAAGCAAAGACCATTAATATCATTACACTATTGAAAGGTTCAGAAATTTTTTTCAGGAAGTTTCAGTCTCTGCAGTATATAGAACATAATATATAATTTTTTTCCCTCCTTCTTAAGTCAAATTTTATTTTTTGGAAGACAAAAAAGTGTTCACTATTGGCTGTCTGTTACTCTGTTCTTCCTCCACATACTTCTTAAATGTGTGCCTTTCTTGGTTTAGATAACAGTTTCTCTCTCACTCTATACACTTTATTCATGTTGTAGAGTCATAAAATTCACTCATACTACCCTCAGATGTGCAGGGAAATTGTAGTTCCCTAGACTCCCATAGGCTGGTTAAAGGGAAATTATAATTTTAGTTATATTTACTTTGAAAGTTGGTGGGACTGAGAAGTGTTAATAGCCTCTAATGTATCACATAGTCTAAGAAATTAAAAAAAAAAAAACTTTCTCCCAATTTCTTTCTCTTTCACAGTTTATTTTACCAGTTGGGGTTAGTGATGTGGCTCACGGGACCTCGTGGTAGGTACATGGGTCATGGTCAGCAGGTGTGCTGTGCCCTGGCTCTCCCTGTTTCTTCTAAATCCTGTTAACACACCAAGGCTCATTGGTTTTCATGAACTGTCTCACTGGCACTGCAGGCTTCTCTAAAGGCAGAGACCCTTTGGCTCTGAGTGGGTATTATATCCTTCAGTCCAAATTTCATTTGTTTTTCAGAATATTTGGGGGTATCTCTTGATTCTTTGGTCCACATTATTTTTAAGGTGTCCCATTTCTGGGTCCCAGTCCCCCAAAGTTCAGTATCTCTGTTGCTTTCACTCTGCTGAATGAACATAAAGATATTTTCTAGGACTGAGAGCCCTCTAAACTGATCTCCACCTCCCCAATTACAAAAAGTGTTCATGACTTCATGCTCCAGGCACGTCGTCAGTGTGCTGCAGAAGGGAAATTCTGGCTCTGAGCTTCTTGCTACCTGCAGGTATTGCATAGCTATGTTTTCTCCCTCAGCTTGGTAATTTACTCCTTTTCTAGTGAATCCAACCTCCTTTTCCTCCAATATATCCCTCTTCTCTGCTGTCCTCATCTTAATGACTTCTACATGCAAATTGCTTCTTGATATCTCTGTGTGTATTAGGCTTCTTAAATGTAACTTGAACAAAAAAACAACTAGATTCATTCTCTCCAACTCCCAAATTTTTTTTTTTTTTTTTTTTTTTGAGACGGAGTTTCGCTCTTGCTACCCAGGCTGGAGTGCAATGGTGTGATCTCGGCTCACCGCAACCTCCGCCCCCTGGGTTCAGGCAATTCTCCTGCCTCAGCCTCCCGAGCAGCTGGGATTACAGGCACGCACCACCATGCCCAGCTAATTTTTTTGTAATTTTAGTAGAGACGGGGTTTCACCATGTTGACCAAGATGGTCTCGATCTGTTGACCTCGTGATCCACCCGCCTCAGCCTCCCAAAGTGCTGGGATTACAGGCTTGAGCCACCGCGCCCGGCCACTCCCAAATTTTTACTGGGTGGCCTGTTCTCCTTCCCTGTCCACCCCCAATCCTCAACCAGAATTGCTCATGCCAAAAACAAGAATTATCTTGTTTCTTTTTTGCCCTCATCTTTCCACCCTGCTCATATTCGGTATATCAGCAACTATTGACAATTTTACCTCTAAAATTTTATTCTATTTCTCCTACATCCACTATTACTTTTCATCTTGTTCTAAGTCACCACACTGTCTTGTCTCAATTACTCAGATTGCTCCCTTTACTCTCACTGGCCCTGTGCATAGTGGAGAGTGGCACAAATCAGATCATGTTTCTCCCTTACCTATCATACTCAGGAAAATAATCCTACATTTGTTATCCTGGCCAACTGGACCCTTTATGATCTTTTCTTTTGTGTCTTCATCTTAAGTTACCCTACTCCTTGCCTTTTATGTTTCAAAGGCACTGAATATTTTTCTGTTCTTCAAACACACTAGCTCATTCTTGGCTCAGGAACTTTGCACTATCTATTCCCTCCTCCAGGTAAGCTATTTCCCACATTTAGCATGAAGAATTAACTCCATCTTATACCTTGAAAACCAGTTCCAATATTGTCATCTTCTAGAGGGTTTCTCTAATCAACTAAACTAACATGGCCACATGGTCATTGGCAATGACTTTAAAAAACTTTTATTCTCGACATAGCACTCAGCGTTGTGATGGTTAATACTGAGTGTCAACTTGATTGGAATGAAGGATGCAATGCATTGTTCCTGGGTATGTCTGTAAGCATGTTGCCAAAGAAGATTAACATTTGGGTTAGTGGACTAGGAGAGGCAGACCAACTCTCAATCTGGGTAGGCACCATCTAATCAGCTGCCAGCACAGCCAGGATAAAAGCAGGCAGAGGAAGATGAAGGGACTAGACTGGTTAAGTCTTCTAGCCTCCATCTTTCTCCTGTGCTAGGTGCTTCCTGCCCTCAAACACTGGACTCTAAGGTCTTCAGCTTTGGATTCTTAGACCTACACAGTGGTTTGC